TTTGCAATTTTAATATGGCTGTACTGTACTATCTACACTTTGCATTCAACGCACAGCGTATCATTTTTATGACATAATATTAAGACAACGAAACGCAGACATAAAAGAGTGTAAAGTGTAAATGATTCCATTTCAAGTATTTTTAAAGATTTCATTTCCAAACTCAATGATATATAATAATCAATTATAGTTTTTAGTTTAAAAATTCTAATTTTTTTTATAGGATAAAGGTGACAAGCACACAGTCAACCTGCTGGTAAGTGGATACTGTGGCCCATAGACATCTACATCTATCCTCGATTACGAATTAAAATGCAGATGCGTTGGCATCCGTGAGTACTAAGATGGAATACCCCATTTCTAGTAAAAAGGGTCTCCAGTTCTCTATACTTACTAGCGAAGGGTCATCGACGTATTTGTCGTTAACAATACTAGACCGTCCATTTTTAAGGTAATTGATAGAATCAGGCGTTACTTTGCGGAAATCCATTATAATGGGGTTGTTATAAACTAATTTGCTTAATTCCGCGTAAGGTAAGAAAATGATGTGTCCTGCCCAGTTTTAAGGGGGACCTCCCACCCTCCCTCAATCGCGCGCACTATACCCGTTGCCGTTAATCCCAGCAACATCACCCACAGCACTACCACACTATGCACGACACACCACTCTCGAAAATACGACACGTGTTTCGTCTCTACACGAGGCATCCTCAGGTGAAGTAGACTCTGCGGAGGCTGGCCGCTAAGTGAGCGGCGAGCCGAAACTACTGCTATTTATACTACTTGCTGACACAACCGCGCTCCAATTACGTAGCGAGCGATTACGTCATGCGATCAATCATCGCCTGACGTACGCCGATATTTGCTGTGTAATTAACGCGTTTGCGTATACTCGCAGATCTCTTTAATCTCTTTAACTCCGGTTCTACTGTGGATACCCTCATTCAAAAAGTTTACTAGGTGATTAGTACTAAGGTAAGTACCATACTACCATAATATGTAATAAATATAAAGGCCTTACTGTACACTTAATGAACAAATAAATACTTGAATACTAAACGTTCAATAAAATCAGAAGTCAAGGACATATACAAATTTTCTTGAGCGGAAACTAGAATATGTTTATGAAAACGGACTACAGGAAATTCCATTAAAATATAAACATAATTTGATCCGTAGAATATATTTTCACAGCTGTGACCCCGTGAATATAATTCAACGTTTCTGATGACAATTGAAGTCTCTTCCTTAAGTACCTTCATATTTTTTAACAAGTCGCAAATAGTTTTAATGAAACAATGAGTTCTATTTGTTACTTTTACTGAGTACAACAGTTCAACGAATTTCATTTTGTACTAATTTCACTAGTCACACATTTACTCACTTGTAACTCGACAAAATAAATTTACTTATAACAGCGTCATAAGCGCTTCTATAATTTGACGCGCAATCCTTATGCAATTTTGTTTCATAAATTTACGTGTACTTCCGCAGTCCGCATCAAACTGCACAATTTGATTCAGTTATGCAAAGGAAATGGCGTGTCGACTCTGCATGTGGTGTAAATGTTTTACCTGCTTTAACTTGGTCAAACAAATTATTACGTTGTTGCGAGTATTATATTGTGTACAACGTATACACGTCTAAGTTAATATGCATAAAAGGAAAAAACTTTTTACGACCAATTAAAAATGTTGTTCCACGGCTGGACATAGGCTTTTCGTCAATTCTCAAAGGTCTTTAGACACTTAGAAATGATTTTAATTAAAATCTATGAACTAACCACGAATAAACTCTTATTTAAGTTTTTTCGTCAGTAATCGAGCCGTATTTCTCTTCTCTCTCTTTATCGAGAAGTATTCTCTCGTTCCTCTAATCAGAAAACTAAGTGAAATTGCTAGTGAGTGAAACACGAGACGGCATTGTCTAATAATTCTATTGATCGCTTTAGTCAGTGTCAGTACTAGCATGACAGTTGTTCTACTTAATGGCATGTAAACAAATCTGAATTTTATAATGACGAAATGCTTAGTGTTTTGCTTAAATAACTAAATGTTAATAAATTCAATCGTTGCATAATCAAAGTTATAAACGAAAATCGGAGCATAAATACTTTTAATAATTTGTAAGATAAGTGACATTTTACCCAAGGGAAATTTGCGAACTTCTTCACCCATTGTCGACTTCATCTATCTTGTGCAAATGAAGCTCACAATGGTGGCTGAATCCGAGTAAAGCCCACCTAAAATGCCGAAAGTAGATCCCGCAGACAGCATAACGATTGCGAGGGAGTGACAATGTATTCTCAAATTACTTTCACTATCCTTACACATATTAGTGATTTCTTTTTCTGCCGTGAATGTCTTTTTTATAGGATAAGGGCAAGCCAAACGAGCACATAGCCCACCTGATGGCAAGTGGTTGCTGTCGACCATAGACATCTATCCTCGATTACGAATCAAAATGCAGATGCCTCCTCAGCCGTGAGAACTAACGTGGAATGCCTAGTTTCCAGTAAAAAGGGTTTCTGATTTCGCTTATATCAGACGTAAAATACTCGGACCAGTGATGGGCAGGAGAGTCAAAGGCGTGGGAAATCTGGTGCTGGTCTGCGATACGGTTTGTACCGTGATCGTCAATACACCTGCTAAGCGTGATAATAAACACAAATCCTCCCAACGACGAGAGAGGCCTATAGCTAGTAGTGGACTTGACTTCTACGGGCTGAAGAGGAAGGAGAAGGTTTATGAATGTAGATATATAAGTCACAGCCTCCTACGTCCCACTCCTAGGGCACAGGCCTCCTCTCATTTTTGAACAGGTCTTATGGCTAGTTAAAGTCTGCCGCGATGCATCAATGCGTAATGTTAGACTTCACATGTGTTCAATTAGGGAACATGAATAAAATAGGCGACTCACACGATAGGCAAATTGTATATTTAAAAGGAATGAAAAATACAAAATATTTGGTGGCGATCGGGTCGCGAGCTATCGGCAAGTGCCGGTCTTAGGCGCGGTGGTGAGAAACCCCCCGCACTTCACATACTCCCCGCAAACACCGTCGGTGCTGTCGTAACGGCGCCGACAACATGTCTACGAAATATTTTTTTTAATTTCTTAGACATGCAGGTTTCCTCACGATGTTTTCCTTCACCATAGAGTTTTTTTTATAGGATCGGGTGACAAACGAGCACACAGTCCACCTGATGATAAGTGGTTACTGTAACCCATAGACATCTACATCTATCCTCAATAAAGACTCAAGATGCAGATGCGTTGTCACCCGTGAGGACTAAGATGGAATGCCTCTTTGCCAGTAAAAAGGGTCTCCGGTTCTCTACACTCACCATAAGAAACACAGCAGCGTAAAGCTGCTATTTTACGCTGGTTTTCTGTGTGAGCGTGGTCCTTCCCCGTTCGAGCCGACCCATTCGTGCTACAACCATAATATAGCTGCAGCATGGCTCTACCACGTAGGAAGTACGTGGTAGAGCCATGCTGCAGTATGCTAGTATGCTAGTATGCTGCAGAGTACGTGGTAAATTAGCATTTAATATTGTAACTAACAATTTCGTAAAATATTTTGTTATATTCAATATGGAAACAGCAGCTTGAGTTACGATGCGCTGTACTAATTACTTTTAATCTTCATTTACCAATTGACGTTGAATATCGACGAAGGGAATAAAGGAACTGCGTAAACGATTATTTTATTCTGATTCTAATTGAATTAAATTACCCGCTGCAGTTTAGCGTTAAGCCAGTATACATGTTCTTTATGCATAGCCAGCTTTGAATGATAGTGTATTTGTAGAACTGATAATTTTATTGTAATTAACTTTAGGAATAGTTTGCAGCACGACAATTATTTTAATAAATATACGTGCAAACAATAGATTTTACTTTATTTTACAACGAAAGCTGGTGTTGAAAGGAACATTCTGAGTTCAAATCCTGTCGTTGGCAATGAAGTTTAAATGTGGAACTGTGTCCTGCACTGCGACGTTTGTGTACATTATAATATCAGTTATTACAACCTCTGGTGCTTTTTGACCACACATAACTGTGTACCTCAAGATGAAGCTTCAACAACAGCTTCCAAATTAACACAAACTTTATCAAACTGTAATAACTTTAGAAACAGCTTGGCTTTAAATGCAGTGAAGTGAAAATTATAGCATAAGGTGTATAAATAAAATACAAGTTTACACAGTTTCAGTTCTATATAAATAAAACCACACAACGTGTGGTCACATTTTAACAGAAAATCTATCAGCGCATTGAATAAAACTGCTTTTACGGATTCTATCGCGTTTTTATTAACTTACTAGCTGGCCAGGCAGACGTTGTTTTACCTTCTCCGAGGACCCTGCGTCCTATAAACATTCTTAAATTCGTAATAAAAAATATTGAGGGTTACTTATAGGGATAATAAACTTTTCTATCTCTCAAGTTGGACCATACTGCACACAGTTTGTAAAATTTCATTGCAATCAGTTTAGTAGTTTAGGAGTTCTTCGCGGATAAACAATGTGTCACGTAATTTTTATATATAAAGATTTTATTAAGTTCCCGACGTTTCGGATGCTTCACAACACCCATAGTTACGTTGAACTGAGATGAATGACGTCTCGATGTCAGAGTTAATGCGGAGTGCCTTCAGCTTTTTTTTAATTATTCATTTTGGTCCGATCTACGCAGAATATACTAACTATATCTTAAAGTCTTGCAGTGGTATGCTTGGGCTTAGTTTTAGTTTTATTAACTACTAGCTGTCGCCCGCGGCTCCGCCCGCGTGGATGTCGGTTACCGCTGCAAAAAGCCTACCCAGGAAAGACACGGTCAGCAAACAAAATGATTCCCAGGTCAATTCACAGACACCGACACTAACATCGACGAAGCAGTCACTATCCGCAGGCTGAACAGATTTTCTTTCTGTGGATGTTATTTGTTAAGTCCCGGAGTGCAACCTGTTGTTTTAGGATAGAAAACTTAAGCTATTATTGTAGAGCTTCTCTATACACAATATTTGACGATATATTATTTTCTGGTAACAAAATATACTGATGGTCGGGAGCCCCGACCCGTGATAGGGCAACGTAAAGTTGCCCATGCGTAAAACATTCTTTTCGTAAATCAATTCCTACTAATTTGAATGTTTGGCCCTGGGATTTGTTTATCGTGAGTGCGAAAGAAATTTTTACTGGAAATTGGAGCCTTTTGAAGGGTATAGGCAAATCAGTAGGGATCATGGGTATTCTTGGTATATGAGCTAATTCACCAGCTGCAGGGCCGGTGATAATCTTCGCAACTATTAAATTATCTTTTAGCTCCTTTATAAGAAGTCTCGTGCCATTACACATGTTGGGGGGTCTTAAATTTCTGAGAAGCATTATCGGCGTGTCAACTTTTAACGACAGTTCATGAGGTGGAAGCCCAGCGGGGTTCAGAGAATTTAAAAATTCCTGGGGGTAGTGCACTGCGTCCTCGATGTTAGTGACGGTGTCTATGGATTTATAGCACTTAACTTCACCCGGTACTTTCTGCATAATTAAATTGTTTATTTCGTTGACTGTTTCATTCCTGGGAGAAACTATTGCTCTACAACACAGCCAACGAAAATCATTTTGATGTAAGTTTTCGATGTCAGGATATATAGCATCTATCAGACTATCTAAATTATAGACTATTTGCCCTAGAGACTCATCCAAAGTAACCGCATAATCGGTGCCCAAATTTAAAGATGGAAAAATTCCTTCTCCCAGTTTCAGCAGCTGTTGTGGAAAATTGCTATGCGTATTTCCATGTAGATGAGCTCTCATATTAGTACGCAAATTCAAATGTTGAACAGATGTCCAAAGGTGAGACGATTTTAAACATGCCTTCATAATATCTGCTCGCGTACCTCTGTTGACGACAGGAAGCGTTTGTCGGAAATCTCCAGCAAATACAAAAGTGATACCACCCATGACATTAGCAGAGCTTCGGAGGTCTTTTAAAGTACGGTCCACGGCCTCCACATGAGCTCTATGACTCATGGTGCATTCATCCCATATTACCAACGACGCGTCTTGCAGCAACTTACCAAGAGGCCCATTTTTCCGAATAGAGCACGTAGACCGTTGATCTAAAGATACGGATAGCGGGAGTTTAAACGTAGAGTGAGCAGTTTTTCCTTCGTTCAAGAGAGTTGCAGCAATTCCTGACGAAGCAACTGCAATCGCTATCTTCCCTAATTGCCGTATCTTAGCAAGTATCAAATTTGCGAGAAAAGTCTTTCCGGTGCCTCCTGGTGCGTCCAAAAAAAATAATCTCCCCATGTTATTGTTCACACTGTCCACAATAGTCTCATAAGCATGTCTTTGATCTGGTACTAATTTTGGCACATTGTCATTAACAAACGCTATTAGATCATTGCTGTTATACTGTTGTACTATTGTGTCAATAGTATTATTCTGGGCACGAACGGGAGAAGGTAATCCAAAATCACTTAAATTTTTGTCGTTTAGTTCTAGAAGTTTGTTTTCTATTTCAATTAATACTTCATTATAAATGACTTCAGTGAAGGGTAAAGTGTTATCCTGATTTTGTTGTCTGATACGATGTCTAATATCTTCACAGAACTGATCTTTGAAAGTATCCCATAACTTCAATGGTTCCGATGGTTGACAAAATAAAAGTATGATTACGAACAACTCCCTTAGTTTTTTTGGACAATGTGATAACGAAGCTTCGCTTAAAGTGTTATCCCAATGATCATCGTTTTCAAGTAAACCTCGGTCACGGCAAGCTGCTTGATACGTCTCTTTGACAATACCGTTTACAGTTTTAAGGTATGCAAATGAGGTCGGACCGCGTACGTGGTGCAGTAGAATCCTAAGATAAAAACACTCTGATTGGGATGGATGTATCCCGTAGACTCTACCTAAAGCGGCATCTTTTTTTATCCCCGGATGTCCAACTACATCTTCATCACGCTTCCTTCTAGTGAATGTATTATTTGCCCATGTATAGTATTGCGGGACTTCATGATACAGAAGAGTTTTCACGAATTCATCTTCATTACAGAGAGCAAAAAATGCCAGTAATGTGGTATTGCGTGGGTTTTGGACAACTTGATGAGCTGTCCCTGGTGTAAAATACACCCTTTGACCGTTCTCTAGATGAACGGCCAAATGCACTACAGTAGGATGCCGCTCGTGAATGGGAAATTCAAATAAGCGCCAGACAGCTTCAGATGTGCTTATGTACCTGCCATTTAAATAGATTTCGACCTCATCGTGTGGGTTTCTAAAGCTAAAAGTTGCCTGATCTGAACCTTTATTTATATACTTACATATATATTTAATGGCTTGGACAGAGTGGCAATACTCCACGTTTATATGAGCGTTAAAAGTCTTACATAGTAGCGGGGAGTATGGAACAATCCACCTATTATCTATCGTCACCATGTTGCCCCTGATTTGTAGCGTAGTGCTCCGACCGCCATTTCCTGTATCGCGCCTACGATAAACTGGATACCCATCCTCTCCGGTCTGGGTATCGTTCATGAAACGGCGAGGGTAATTTTTTGTGCAGGCACCGTTCTTCATGCATGGTGCAGCTAAATTATGTTCTCCGCAGGGTCCATGTACCATATTTTTAGTTATAATGTCATGTAGTACCGGATCAATTTGTTGATTGGGTAGCTCCGCAACTATGACACTGTCGATCTCATCTGGTTGTATTTTAGTTTCTAGCCAGAACAGCAAATGACAATGAGGTAAACCGCGCTTTTGCCACTCCACACTTGCCATATAACATTTTACTTTACCGAATATCTGTTCTTTGATAAATAATTTGATGAATTTCTTCATCTTTAAATGAAATACACGTGAAATTATGTCATGACGGTCGAAAGACCGTTGTCCTGGTAGCAGCTCGGCTTTTATTTCAGGTCATTCGGGGTTACATGTAAAAGTGACAAATAAGTCAGGTCTACCATAATTTCGAACGTACGTCATCGCGTCCTGAGTTTTCTCGTGCATGAAACGCGGAGAACCCGTAAATGACGATGGCAATATGACATGTTGACCGATATTTGATGGGTCAACATTTGCGTCATGATTTAAGGCATCTCTGAGATGAATGTAGTCATCAGCCCTCAGTCTTTGTTGATTCCGACAAATATAATTTAATCTTTCCGATATCATTTTCGCCATCATGTCAACACAATATTGACTAAATAAGTCTCTGTAATAATGTAACGGATTAAAAGAGTTAGTTCTAATCATTAATCTAAATGCATAAAATTGCATACACGAAACAGTTTTATTACGCGCAGAACCCTGCTGAGGGATAGTCAAATAATAACCGTCTTCTCCTGTCACAAACATTATAGGATACTGTAGTGGATCATAGGACCGATGTAGCTCAGAAACTCTTTTGAGCTGCCCGTCTCTCCCGTGTAAGACTATATCCCTGGGACCTTTGTCTTCATCGACCAAGAGAACAGCTACCTCGTTTACAGTAGGAGCATTATATCTGCCTCTGTGTGCTGTCTGTGGAGTGCGATCTGAATGAATAATTAACTTTAAATTATCTGAGGAGTTAAGTTCTAAGTTTTGTTTAAAACTTCGTATGTACACGTTATGATTATTTAAAGCGGTCTGTAATTCGTGAATTAAATCCATTTTTAAGGTTGGTGCGATGCTTGATCGCAACGATAACTGGTCTGCATCCGAAATAAAATACATTTGCAAGAACTGTGGGATTTGGCCTGATGGTGGTAAAAGGCTACCAATTAGATGATACACTTGTCCTTCAATTTTAAAAGTGGGCATAAAATTTTCTTCCCTGATTTCTTTTGCGCCAAACGAAGTCATTTGAAAAAGACTATTGTATTTACGTATGTTTGTTAAAAAATGCCCAGATAATGGATGGTTATTAGTCAAAAGATTTTTTATTGGTTGTGGCGGCTCCTGCAGGTTAAGAAGACAAACTTTACCTGAAGCACAGCACATACCATTAGGTTCGTCCGCCCATTTCTTGGCAGAGCAGTTAGAGCAGATCTTATTCATGACTCCAATTTGGACGGACGCTTGTTGTACATAATCAAACTGCGGATCATATCTGAAAGCCAGTCTGTTGCTGTTAGCTAAAATTCGATTGCGAACTCTATTTGTGGACAACTGCTGTCTCTCTGCCTGAGCTCTAAGTCGCTGCAAACGCTCGACACTCGACTCTCTTTCGCGCAACTGAGAGGTCCTTATATTTTGTTCATGAAGACGTTGGGAACGCTCCAGGCTCGACTCTTGAGCGCGTAGCTCAGAGGTTCTCAAGCTTTGTACGGCAAGGCGTTGCGAACGCTCGACACTCGACTCTCGTTCGCGTAAGTCAGAGGTCCTTACATTTTGTTCATGAAGACGTTGGGAACGCTCCAGCCTCGACTCTTGAGCGCGTAGCTCAGAGGTTCTCAAGCTTTGTACGGCAAGGCGTTGCGAACGCTCGACACTCGACTCTCGTTGGCGTAAGTCAGAGGTTCTTACATTTTGTTCATGAAGACGTTGGGAACGCTCCAGCCTCGACTCTCGTGCACGTAACTCAGAGGTTCTCAGATTTTGTTTTGCAAGGCGTTGTGAACGTTCGACACTCGACTCTCGTGCGCGTACCTGAGAGTTTCTCTGATTTTGTTCAGCAAGGCGTTGTGAACGTTCAGGTGAAGATTCTCCCATACGACGTATTTTTGCTGCCCGTGCTTGAGAACTATGTTTAGAAAGTTGAGACCTGGCTCTCTTAGGCATTTTCAAATGTTTAAGATAATGTTATTAGCGTGTAATATTCTAGCTCTAAAAAGAACTGTTGGTTAGCCCTGAAAAGAACTGTTGGTATGCCCTGAAAAGAACTGTTAGTTAGCACTGAAAAGAACTGTTGTTTAGCTCTAAGAAGAACTGTTGTTTAGCTCTAAGAAGAACTGTTGTTTAGCTCTGAGAAGAACTTTTGCGTAGGTGTAGTTTAAAGAACGAAACCTAAAAAAAATCGCACGAAAATTATTAGACTTCACGCACGACCGCTGCGTAGGGAGCCGACCGCGCGACTGAGCCGCGCGGGTACCTTACTCATAGATCTAAACTCCCCCTCCCACACGCTCACCGGGCCTTGGTAACGCCTACTTCGTTACGGGCCTTGCAGCAGAAATCGTAATATTTTAATTTCGCTATAACTTCAGAACCAAACGTCCAATTTTAATCATTCAAAGACCAAATATTATCTACATTAACTGTACTTAGTGATGAAATAATTTATTTTGATAAGGATTAATAGCATGACTAAAATAAACGCGTTTAAATGTAGTCCAAAAAAAAATCTAGATTTTTCAATAAAAAAATGGTTATTGTGCCTCACTTGACATAGATAGGTATAGTGTGTCGCGGACTTTTTTGTAGATATTTATAAGATCTACAATTACTTAGAACATTTTATGGTTCTATCTTTAATAGTTTAGGCAGGGTGCGCAAAATAAGTAACTTTTTTGGTTGATTTTTTACACCTTGTGTCCGAAAAACCCTAATATCTTACGGAACCCTATTTTTGTTCAAAATTAAATATAGCCTATATTACTCGTGGATAATGTAGCTTTCGAATGGTGAAAGAATTTTTAAAATCGGTCCAGTAGTTTATGAGCCTATTCATTACAATCAAACAAACAAACAAACAAACAAAGTTTTCCTCTTTATAATATTAGTGTAGACAAGATCCCAAGCAGGAGGTAGTACCCAGCCTCCCTCTTTGTTGAAATTAGTATGTTTTTTTAATTTCAGTAACCTCACGTATCATTCTTGGCAAGAATCGATGTTCTTTCGCGAGAATTTGTGGTTTACCAAATGTAACGTGGCAGGGGCCGTCTAGGATATGATCACAAACTGCAGACTTCCCGGAACGTTGGTGTTTCCCGTCAGCTATGTGTTCTTTAATGCGGGTTTTTATGGATCTTTTAGTTTGTCCTATAAAAGAGAGACCACATTCACAATCAAGCTTGTACACTCCTGCATCTTGCAGAGGGACATTACACTTGACTGATGATAAAAACTGACTAATCTTCTTCGGCGGCTTGAAGTATGTTTTAATGGAAGCACGCTTCAAGATGTAGCTAATCTTGTCTGTGACACTTCTGACATATGGTAGTACAGCAGGCACACGCTCGACTGTGGCCGGCTTTACTCGGTCACTGTGCCGTAGGCGCGGGACCCGAAGCTTGTTGTCGTGCAGAACCTGCTTGACGTGCTGAAGCTCTGCGGCCAGATGTTTGCTGCCAAAGATCTCTCGTGCTCTCTGTAACAAAGGTTTGCCCACGGTAGCTAACTGTGAAGGATGATGGTGGGGGTATGGGTCTTTTTTCTATACACAGTGTGACCTATAGTGTTGTTAGGATTTCGAATGACTTACTCATCTACCTGTCTAACCGTGTACCTGGGACAAATATTTCGACTAGGTAAGTCCAACTTCGACAGAGAGGTCAATCGATGATTTCAACTCGGCTGAGTAGCGTTTGGAAAATTCCGACACATCTTCTCGTCAGGTATACCTCAAAACCTGAAAATGAGACTGTACAACCAGTGTGCGTTGCCGGGGATGATTTATGGATCTGAGAGGTGGTACTTCACTGCTGGTCAATGAGGACGCTCAAGATCGCTTAGCGCGCTATGGAGAGTGCCATGCTCGGAGTTTCTCCGCGTGATGAACTAAGAAATGAGGATACCCGCAGTAGAACTATAGTGACCGACATAGCTCGCTGAAATTTACAGCAAGCGGTAACCAACTGAACGTTGAACGCTCGGCAATGAAGGAAAACATCGTGAGGACGTTGCATGTCTGAGAAATAAGAATAAAATATATATTCCGAAGACATGTGAAGTTCGCCAACACAGATTGGTGCACCGCAGCGGACACTTTCTTGCCATAAAATCCTCTGCCAACTAAGAGGAGGCCTCTGCCCAGCAATTGGACGTGTATTGGCTGTAACTTTATTAATATTATTATTATGTATATGTCATTGAATTCAAGCTGCCAAAGTACCAGGAATAATTAAAATGAGCGTAAAAGCTCTGACCGCACCAGTTATTTAGAATTTTCTTTCATTTGTTATTTTATTCCAGCTAAGTGATTCTGTCTCGTTCTTATTCATTGTATGAAACTATTTTTTTTCGCCACATAAAACGCCATTTTATACTTATTTACCATAAAAGTTTATGTATTTTCATAATATTATATTACTTACTTTCATAATATCATAATACTAATTTATGCATTTTCATTTGGCGTGGCGAACCAAGAGTGGACTTATAAAGTTTAAAACCTCCTTCAGCTTAATAAATATGAAATGGAAGATTTACAAATTATTCATTGAGAGACTCACACGTAGAAAATTAACACAACATCTTCCTTTACGATATTTTTTTTAGTTTTGAGTTCATATTTACGAAAATCATACAAAAATACAATTTTTTTATTGTAATTTTACTACCTACTTAAATAAATGATGTAATTGACAGACAAATGATTTCATAGTTAATAAGTAAATCGAAACATATAGCATATGCTCATCACATTACATCAACCGCCTTTGCAAATCTATTCTTATAATTATAATAACGATAATTCCATTTGTCAAGTTTTATTTCTATGAGGAAATATTCACATCGCGTTTGTTGTGAGCTATCAAATAACGGGACGTTAATCATCATTGTCATATTTTTAATGACGCCTACGTTTTAATCATAAGGACTCTTAAACATTTCTGTACCTTAGCCTTTCACCA